CTCCTTTATCACAGAAATGTTATGGGACTGTCTCTCTTCCATTATAGTGATAGTGGACCTTTAGTCATTTCTTGGAAAAGCTTTTTGCACTTGAAGGGAAATATGCTCAAGTGTTTTCCCCCTCAAATTAGATTTTCTTGTTAATTATAATCCAGTTCTTGGTAAAGTTGTGTGTGCACGCATTTGCTTAATTTTCTGTAATTGTAAATCTTTGAGGTTATTCAAATTGTCAGCTTGCTTACACAAATTTGTCTATAAGTTAGTTTTTTGGGTAGGACATATGTGTCACGTGGATGCAAAGGCGCATGAATACAAATGCATTATACAGTGTACAACCTTCCATGTCCAAAAGATGGATAGAAAGTCCTTTTTTCCCATTACATCTCTCCACCCCTCCACTGCCATTTTCCCATCTCCACCCCATCCATTTCATACCCTATAGCTACTAAGGCCCATTATACACTGACATACAATGCTGTTACAAACTACATTATATGGCAGTGTAAATGGGGCCTGAGGAGTATCTGTGATGCTGATCAGCTATATCAGGAATGTTGTAGTTCACCATGATCCAAAACAGATTTGACTACAGCTCCTGTCAATATCAGACAAAGATACTACTCTATCTGTATTTTTTCTGAAGGGTAAAAATGACAAGGAAATGGGTCACGTTTACAAATAGGTATCATTATCAAACATTTGTGCTTGCACTATTAAAATATTCTCTAGAAATCTACATGCTTACTTTCAGTTTAAAACTACATGCTTATTTTCATCTTAAATTGCTTGCTCTGTTCTTGTCTGTTTCACAATAGTTATTTTAATTCCGTTTTGGCAGAAAATAGCCATTTTGTTGCTCAGACAGATTTAATATTTTTTTCTGCACGTACTGTAAACAAGGCTTCTGTCTCACAATCCCACCTAATGTAATTTTATCTCATTGCAAATTGCTTTTTTCCGGGTTTATATCTTATTATGAGCCCCGTTAGAGCACAATGTTTGTCCTATTATGTACACAGACCTCATTATTGGATTTTTCTTTTCCATCTTACAATAAAAGAAAATTACAGGCCATTTTATCTGGAATATTGGATTACCAGGCTGCTTATGGAGCATTTCAAAATGTTTGGAACTTGAGATAAACTGGGTTGGGTCCAGGCTTGTAATCTGAGGTTTGTTGTTGTTGTTGTTGTTACATGTCATTTAGGAGTTTCCAACTTATGGTGACCCTAAAGCAATGCTATCCCAAGGTTTTGGCTTTTTTTTTTTTTGCAAGATTTAGAAAGGGTTTGCCATTGTCTTCCTCTGAGTCTGAAGGAGTTTAATTTGGCCTTTCTGGGGGGGGGGGGTGTTCCATGGTTGAGCAGACTCCCAAGCTGAGGTTAGATTGTGCCCTATTAATTTCAATGGGAATGAAGTTTAGCAACTAGTTTAGCCAAGATCCAGCCAATTATGTTTTAAGGCGAAGAACTTCTTATTAGTAATTAATGCAATTAAAGACATCTTTAGTTGATGAATCTATTATCTGAACAATCATGGCCTGAGTCGTCTGTGTAGTGGATTGTATTTGGTGCTGAAAAGTGGTCTAAAACAAACTAGAACAGGGTATTGTATGTTCATCAGGTTTACAAAGTGCAAAAGTGAGGGATGGCTAATCGAGCCACGAAGAGAGGCGAGTAAGAAATGTTGTTGTTGTTGTTGTTAGATACATAACAAGATTAGTACACAGCAAACAAGATCACTATGCTGGCTGTTGTATTTGGTCACACAACAGACACTTCCCAAGAGTCTAGGACTGTCTGATGTATCAGCTAATAATGCATGCAGATCCACGTAAGGTGGGCTTTTGTAATTGACAGATGGTAATTTTGTCAGCACCTCTTGTTTTTGTCACTGTTGAACTTCATTTTGTTAGTTTTGGCCCATCTCTCTAATCTGTCAAGATCGTTTTGAATCCTGCTCCTGTCCTCTGGAGTATTGGCTATCCCTCCCAATTTGGTGTCGTCTGCAAACTTGATGATCCTGCCTTCTAACCCTTCATCTAAGTCATTAATAAAGATGTTGAACAGAATCGGGCCCAGGACGGGACCCTGTGGCACTCTGCTTGTCACTTCTTTCCAAGATGAAGAGGAAGCGTTGGTGAGCACCCTCTGGGTTCGTCCATTTAACCAATTACAGATCCACCTCACTGTAGTTTTGCCTAGCCCACATTGGACTAGTTTGTTTGCCAGAAAGTCATGGGGGACCTTGTCAAAGGCCTTACTGAAATCCAGGTACGCTACATCCACGGCATTCCCTGCATCTATCCAGCCTGTAACTCTTGCAGCAGCTGAGTATGTGATTTTTGCAGATTCTTGGATTATTATTATTATTTCCCTTCCAAATTATTGACACCAGCAGCAACTGGCCTCTAATAGTTACTATCACATTGGAAGGCATGATGCAACCTTGTTAGCAGACGATGCACTAGGCTTGCCTTACACAAACACACAAGACATTGGCATCTGGTCCTCCAACACACTTTCAGCCCTACTGCTGCCATGTTAATTGTGAAAACTACTTTTAACTAAAAAAACGTCTTTTGAGGCTCATTATGACAAAGGATCTGCCCTTATCATCTTTCTCACAAACATAATGCTGTTTAGAGTGTACACCAGTGGGAATTTCAAAGGTATGTTTACAGTAAGGAACTCACCTATTTATGAGTCTAACTAGCCTTTCCTGTTCCATCTCCACTCCCTTTCCTGTTTTTGAACTCTAACCTCCATTTTCAGAAGCTATGCTACAGTCTTAGGGTACAACTACACTTTAGAAATAATGCAGTTTGACACCACTTTAACTGTCATGGCTTAATGCTATGGAATCCTGGGAGTTATCATTTGGTGATTTGCCAGCGCTCTTTGACAGCAAAGGTTCAAGAACTTGTAAAACTACAACTTACAGGATCCCACAGCATTGAACCTTGTGATTAAAGTGGTAGCAAACTGCATTCTTCACTACAGATGCACCTGTAATCTGCACTGTCTTGTGGATGGGTGGGTTGGGTTAGGTTGAAAAATAACAAATAAGTTATTTTAGTACTTCTAGAAGCCGTGGGTTTTACCAATCCCAACCCTGTGAAACTTCCTCCTTGTGCTTGGAAAGTAGCCTGGGTTTTGGCTATATAAGAGAGAGGCCCCACTATCCTAAAGGCATCTGAACTGAAAGCTAAGCAGGATCAGACCCAGTTAGTACTTGAATGGGAGACCACCAAAGAATATCCGGTGCTGTAGGCTATATTCTAAAGGAACTGTCAAAGCCACCTCTTGAGTATTCCTTGCTTAAGAAAACCCTATTGAACTCATGGGATCACAATAAATCTTCAGATGATTGAAAGGCACGTACACACAAAGATAGAAGTCAGCAATTTAAAGTGGTATGTTGGTTTGAATGCTGGAGTAGGAGGCCAGGGCTCAAATCCCTGTTTCATCACTGAGCCTTACTGAATGGCTTTGGCAAGTCACACTCTCTCAGCCTTGGAAGAAGAAGGCGGCAATGACAAACTTCCTCTATATAAGCCTGGCCAAGAAATTAATGCCAAAAAATCTCATCACAAATCAAAGGTGACCTGAAGGGCACATAGCAACACAACAATATCGCTCTAATAATAAACACTATGTAACAAGATTTTTGTTCTTGGTTTATAAATGTCATTTCTCAATTGGTTCTATCATAAAAATGTGGGAATTTTTTTATCAAATTGCAAAAACTTTGTTTTTGTGGGACATCCTGTAGCACATTTTGCTCTAGTCTTTCAAGTAATATTTCATCAAGTCTCAACCAACTCAACATAGTTTGTGGCAGCCACAAAAATGACATTTCTAGAGTGTAACAGCTACTTTCAAAGTACGCAAGTACTTCACAGTTAAACAGGAAATAACACTTTCAAACCAGAAACAGTTTTTTTTTCTAATTTTGTTATATAGTGTAATGAATTGACTAGATTGTAGCACAAGTTGGGACCTGGGAAGAAGTTGGCTGGAATTGTCATTTTCATGACTAAATTGATTTCTCTTTTGTATTAATGCCAATGTCAGTGTTCACTGATGTCCCCTTAATCTATATAAATAAAAATGCAATGTTTGTTTGTGGGATTAACATAACTCAAAAACCACTGGACGAATTGACACCAAACTTGGACACAATACACCTATCAGGCCAACAAGTGACCATCACAGACTCACAGAAACACTACAAAACACAGTGGAAGAGACTAAAAAAGCCAAAAACTAAAAATACATTACAATGCAAGCAAAAAACCACATATATATACGCAAACACAGATATACACGCACACAAAACACATATACACAGACTGGGCCACAGTAATGCATGGCAGAGAGCTGCTAGTCTATATAAATAAAAATGTAATGTTTGTTTGTGGGATTAACAGAACTCAAAAACCGCTGGACGAATTGACACCAAATTTGGACACAAGACACCTAACAACCCACTGTATGTCCTTCACTAAAAAAAATCGATTTGGTCATTTAGGAGTTATAGTTGCTGGGATTTATAGTTCACCTACAATCAAAGAACATTCTGAACCCCACCATACAGCCCGAAAAAAACACAGCAACCCAGTGATTTTGGCCCTGAAAGCCTTCGACAACACATTTCGGGGGTTGTTTGAAGCCCTACACCACCCCCTTGGCGAGGGGCTTGGCTACAGGCCTTGCAAAACTACATCTCCCAGGATTCCACAGCCTTGAGTCATGGTAGTACTCGTGGTGCCAAACTCCCTTCGTTTTTCTGCACCTCGAGGGACTTTTGCCCGGCAGAAGGAGCCCTGGAGGAAGCTCCGCCCGAGTTACGTTTACTTTCGCTTCCAAGGAGGAGAGAGAGAGAGAGAGACACCGAGGCGCTCCTGAGTCTTTCAAGAAGGCGCCGCTCTCCTCCTGGCAACAGATGACGCGTCCGGCCGGGGGCGGATCCCATTGGCTCCCCGGAGCCTGCTAAGGGCTTGCCCTCCACTTGGAGTCGGCAGTGGCACTCTTGCAAGCGAAGGGGCCCCATTGCGACTCAGAGCGATGAGGCGGCCGCTTGGGAAGCTCAATTCCCCCTGCAGAGTGGCCCTGTGCCTGGGGCTGGTGGCCACCCTCCTGGGCGGTGCAGGCTCTTCAGGTAAGCCAGCCTCTCCTTGGGCGCTTCCTGGCTACTTCTGGGGATCTTGGGGTGCCTCCAAAGAGGAGGGAGGGAGCAAAGAGGGCCACTTCCACTGCTGTGCAAACAGAGAAGTGGTAGGGCTACAACATCTTGAGCCTTCCCTGCCAAACTACAACTCCCAGGATCCCATAGCATGGAGCCAAAGCAGTTCAAGTGGTGTCCAACTGCATGTTATTCTACAGCGTGTAGACACACCTTTTGTTTCCTAATTCTGAAAGGCTAGAAGGGGACAATTGGGCAGGAAGCAGACAACAACATACACTTGAATGTCTTGGCCTCCCCATGCGCCCCCTCAGTGTGTTGTTTTGGCGCCACCCTTCCCATTCCCTTCATGAAAAGGGCACATGGGCAGAAAGCAAGTGTTTTCTATTTGGGTGCCCAGATGTTTCAACTCCCAGAAATGCTAACAGCTGGTAAACTGGCTGGGATTTCTGGGAGTTGTAGGCCAAAACACCTGGGGACCCACAGGTTGAGAACCACTGCTCTGGAGGAACCCAGGCTTCGGACGCTTCTTAATTTCCTCAAGGAACTGGGAAGTCTCCAAAGTTGGCTTTTCCTTCAAAAAGTCTCCAAGGAGGAGAAAGTCCCTCTGTCTCTGGAGAAGAAAAAGGAGGGGGGCCTTCCCTTGAGGGGGAGGCTGCTGTAATAATAATAATAATAATAATAATAATAATAATAATGGCTTGTTGTAGGTTTTTTCGGGCTATATGGCCATGGTTTAGAGGCATTCTCTCCTGACGTTTCACCTGCATCTATGGCAAGCATCCTCAGAGGTTGTAAGGTTAATAATAATAATAATAATAATATATTGTTATGTAATTGATATATTTTAAAAGCCTTCAACAACATGATATATTTTAAAATTACTGTTATTATTACTACATATAGTTGTAATACATTGTACTATATTATGATATATTATTATATTTTAAAATTATTATTAGATATTGTTATCTACTGTTATCTATATATATATATATATAAATTATTCTTATTACTATACATTGTTCTTTATTAGCACAATTATATTTTAAAATTATTATTACTAGGTATTGTTATGTATTATTGTAATTATATTTTGAAAATATTGTTCTTATTACTAGATATTGTTATTTGCTATTATAATTATATTTTAAAATTATAATTATTAGATATTGCTGGATATTATTTTACATGTATTTTAAAATTATTGTTATTAGATATTGTTATCTATTATATTTTTTAAATTGTTATTTTAAATTGTTATTTTTTAAATTGCTGTGGGCTTGGCCTCATGTAAGCCGCACCAAGTCCCTTTAATAATAAAGTTTTATTATTATTATTATTATTATTATTATATTAGATATGGTTATCAGTTATAATTATATTTTGACATTATTGTTATTAGATATTGTTATCAATTATAATTATATTTTAAAATTGTTATTGTTAGATATTATTAAATTATATTAAATTCTTGTTATTAGATATTGTAATCTTATTATATTCTATTATTATTATATTATTATTATATTCTAAAATTGTTGCTGTTGTTATATATTATATATTGTTATGTTATTATCATTTTATTATATTGGGTTCAATGCCTAAAGACCTTGGCCTGCACTTAAAAACAATCAACACTGATAAAAAAATTACCATCTGTCAGCTGCAAAAGGCCACCCTACTTGGATCTGCACGCATTATTTGCTGATACATCACACAGTCCTAGACACTCGGGAAGTGTCTGACATGTGATCAGATACAAAAGCCAGAGTGATCTTGTTTGTTGTGTACTAATCTTGTTATGCATCAAATAATAATAATAATAATAATAATAATAATAATAATAATTTGAGAAGCTTTCCCTTGCATGAGAGCAGAGCCAAGTTGCGAACAATGACTTGACAAGTTTCCGTGGTTTCCCTTTTAAAGTCTACTACTCCATGCCAGAGCCACCTGAAATAAGTGCCTTTCCCTTCTGACCTGCGTAGACCCTTCTTGAGCCAAACTATCAGCATCTCCCTCCTTCATGGATCTAAGTCCATTAGCTGCCGCCAAAAGAGCTTTCGGTTTTTGTTCTGCGGAGGTAAAGAGCAGGGCGTTGCTTCTGAGAGACTTGAGGGATCTGTGACTCCAAGCTGTAAGGCAGCCTCTGTCTACACTGTGGAATGGATACAGTTTGACACCCTTCGAACTGCCACAGCTCAAGGCTTTGGAGTCACCGGAGTTGTTTGGAGAGGCACTCTTGGGCAGAGAAGGTTAAGGACTTTGCCAAACTACAGCTCAAAGGATCTGATAGCACTGAGCCATGGCAGTTCAAGGGGTGCCTAATGCATTCATTCCTCAGTGTGAAGATCTCCCCCACCCCTTCACCCTTTGTTTATCTGATTCAAGGAGCCGCTGTAACCTAATCCTTGGGCAGCATGACTCAGGGAGCCCGAGGCTGGCCAGCCTCCAGCCCCCAGCTGCCAATTTAATGTAAAAGAAAGGCATGAGAGGCGAGGGAGGAAGGAAGGAAGGAAGGAAGGAAGGAAGGAAGGAAGGAAGGAAGGGGATTTCCACGCAGGGCCTGGATCCACCAGAGAAGCAGGATGGGGGCAGGCTGTGGTTGGTTGCTTAGTTGCCCTTCAGGGAACAACATCTGCAAGCACATAAACATCTCTTCCTATGTGCTTGACAGTTTTTCCCACTTCTGACTGAGGGTGCATCTGCACTGTAGAAATAATCAGTTTGGCACAACTTGAACTGCTGTGGCTCAATGCTATGGAATCTTGGGAGTTCTAGTTTGGTGAGGCACCATCACTCTTTTGCAGAGGAGACTCAAGAGTTGGTAAAATTACCACTCCCATGATTCCTTAGCATCAAGCCCTGACGGTTCAAGTGGTGGTAAACTACATTCATTCTGCAATTTAGATGCAGCCTTACACACAAAGTATCTCTCTCACACACAGGCATGCAACTGAGGAAGTGGACATGTGCATCTACATTGTAGAATTCATGCAGTTTGACACCACTTTAACTGCAGTTTGAATCTGCGGGAGAGGATGAACTCCCATTGCTAGCCCTAGCTTCTGCCAACATAGCAGTTTGAAAACATGCAAATGTGAGTAGATCAATAGGTATTGCTTCAGTGGGAAGGTGACACTCCATGCAGTCATGCCAGTCACATGACCTAGGAGGTGTCTATGGACAATGCTGGTTCATCAGCTTAGAAATGGAGATGAGCACCACCCCCCAGAGTTGGATATGACTAGACTTAATGTCAAGGGGAAACCTTTACCTTTACCAAAGGTATGTGTATTGGGTGTATAGTGATTGGTAATTATCTGACAGCTTTGAAGCTTTCCAGCCCACATGATAGGGTCTCCACATATCACCAGTATGGATTATGGAGATGGCACAATCAGTGGTATTGAGCCTCAGACAACACTCCTAGTAAACTGGTATCTCTTTCTTGTAGTATGTCTTCTTTCTCACATGCACACACATCACAACGGCAGTATTGTGATGCTGTGCTAAGACCACATCCACACTGGCCATTTACTGCAGTTTGAAGCTAGCTTCATATTGTGGAAGCCAGACAACATATACCCACAAAATCACACGAAAGAAACCCCTTAATGTGCACTAGTGCCCTGTGGCTTCTGTAATCACCATGTGGTCCTCAAATTGCTTCCAAGATTTCGTATGTAATCATCTGCACAGCAAAACCACTTCTATGCAGGTTTGAATCTGTGTTATATGGTGAGTGTATATGGGCTCTATATTTGCTAGGACACTCCATGAGTAAACAAATCCTGCTGTTCCATTTTATTTATTTATTTATTTATTTATGCATCAGAAGCAACTTGAGAAACTGCAAGTAGCTTCTGTGTGAGAGATTTGGCGGTCTGCAAGGACATTGCCCAGGGGATGTTCGGATGTTTTACCATCCTGTGGGAGGCTTCTCTTATGTCCCTGCATGGAAAGCTGGAGCTGACAGACAGGAGTTCACCCTGTCTCACAGATTCGTACTGCTGATCTTCAGGTAAACAGTTCAGCTGGCACAAGGCTTTAACCCATTGTGTCATCATTGCTTTTGCTGGTCCATCTGACAGAATAGGTTCAGCGTACTTCAAATGAAGAAAGGCTATATAAACACCAGGTGACATGATACCTGGAGCTGTTTCCTACCTTTGAACTAGCAGTGAAGGATTGAATTGGTGGAGTGAACCTTTGTGGACACGCCCCTAGGCCTCACCTGCATGTTTTCTTTTTCAACAAAGTGTTTGTAAGCATAAAGTTTTTGGGTATAGTCTGTAGCCATTTGTGGTTGCAAAGTTCAAGTGTCTAGTCCCACTGCAGTTTATGGCAGAATTAAGTTGTTTCGTTGTGCTAAACTACCTGCAAAATTCAGGTGCAAGAACACTTGGTAAAATTTGCCAAACCAGTCCTTTATCTGACTCATCTTCCCAGTCCCAGAGTCTACATAATATCTGATTGCAAAGACAATCACTTGAATTTATCTCAGGTTCCCTTAGGGAGTCTTGATGATCTTCCAGATATTTTTCCACCGCAAGGATGAGGAATTATTTGCAGGAGTACAGCCAGCCTTCCTTTCAGAGATATCTCCCAGGACTTGGAGTTCACTGCCATGGTTGATTCAAGCTTTCTTTTGTGTGTAGTTGTAAGCCTCAGGTACTTGCAGATTGCAAACTGGGACCTCAGCCACAACCTGCTAAGAAAGAGGAAAACCAGTTACTTACTTAATTTTAGCAAGAAATGACTACTGCAGCATGCTAGAACAGGTAGAGCTTGATAGGAAAGCAGGTGTGGTATGAGAATGAGAAAGAAAGAAACAATGCTGATAGTCCTGGGATGGGAAACCAAAAGAAGCCCAACATTCTAGGGTGCCAAACCTCTGTATACTTAGCAACAATTACTTGAAGTCATAACTCTTAAAAGTACAGACAAGTTGTTTGAATACAACTTGTCTG